AGTCCCCTTTCAAACAATTCAAGAACTCTTAGTTTACTGATGACTGGTTGAAAAGAATAAATTCTCTGTGCAGCATGGCCCTAAAGTTTAAAACACGAACAGCAGAACCCCCTTGTCAGTCAGCCACCCTAACATATTTTCTGGAAATTAAGCTTGTCACAGAAACACCCTGTCCCTGCCAAATCCTCCACACTACCATATAAAAGCACGTGGTTGGTTTAAGCCAGCTTTTAGTGAATGAAGAATGGAAGTCTAGAATCTGCACGTCATTGCTCAGGAGTACTTTGGCTTCAGTGAGACAAGGTAAATCTTAGTGTTGTTGACTGATTAGTAGCTTCCTGACTTTCAGCAAATTGATTAATCTCTCTTATTCTGTTTCTTCTTCTATAAAACTGTGCCACAACATAGATTATCTCATAGTAGTAGCTGGCTTGCAGAGGTTCCAGGGTACTGTATCAAAGGGTTCTACGTACATGGTCTAAGTCACGGTCATATACATGCTGGGGTAGAAGATAACAGGATAATGAGAAAAACAGTGTGCTTCTGTGTGATCTTGTTTTACTCTGCTCTCTGCCTAATACCGTAACACTGACCTCAAAGGCTACCTAAAATCATCTTTTAAGAGATGTGGAAAATATATGTGAAGTACTGTGACAAGAGCAGAAAGTTAAAGTGAAAAGAGAAGAGTAAGCAATGTTTGGTTATTCACGAATTAATTACAGTTAATTAATTACTGAATGGCTACTGTGAACTGGGAATTGGAGATACAGTCGTCAACAAATCAGGTACAAGTTCTTGCACTCATAAAGCTCATGTTTGGTTATGAGGGATAGGCAGTAAACAAATGAATAGATAGTATATGAGATAATGATAAATGTTTGTAGGTAAATAGATCTGTAGTGAGAATGGTTAGTTCTGGGGCAAAGGAGCTGGGATGGATTTCAATTTAGGATAAAATGATCAGACAAGGCCTTTTTGAAAAGTCGTTATTTGAGTTGAAGTTTGCAAAAAAGCAGGCAACCAATCATGTCAACATTGAGGAAAAAGGAATTAGTGGGAATGGGTGCTTTTGGAAACTTTGAGCAGGGAAATGATATAATCTTTTTTTTTTAACTAAAAGTTTCTCCCCGAGTTCCATTTGGAAGAGAAATAATCATAATGATAGAGTAGTAGCACTAGAAGCAAGGATGATGTAAAAAAAATAAGCGGAATAAAGCAGACTGGCGGTGATGATGTCTTAGCCCAAAGTGATTATAGTGAAGATGATAAGTGGCCATATTCTGGGTATATTTTAAAGGTATAACTTTTACAGTTTAGTGATACTTGATTGGAGGATGAAGAGAGTTAAGAATTACTCTAGTTTTGAGGTTAAACAATAGAAGAATAGAGTTGCCGTTTACTGTCTATTGAGATGAGGAAGATTGCAGTAAGAACAGCTTTGAGAAGATAATAGTTCCATTTGGGGCAAGATAAATTTAAATTTCTATAAGATATCTGAAGTTGTGCTGCAGTCCTGAGGGCATACAGTTTGAGACCACCAGCTACCCTGTGGTAAAAGGATGGGCAGTCTCCTTCCATGCAATTAACTGCCTCTGAAAACCCTCTGGAGGGTTAGCTGTGGGTAGATACTAACACGACAGCACACAATAAGAACATTAGATATCTGAAGGTTTGATAGAGAAGAGATAGAGATACAATGATCATTATTAAAATGTTCATTTTGCACAGTAAGTTTGTAAATTTTGGAAGATCTGTTTAAATGACTTACCTAGAGCCTTTTTAGTACTTTAATATATACTGTGTCTTCATTAGAATGTTTAAAGGATCTCTCTTGAGAACAATGCTATTCACATTTAATATGTTAGGTGAAAATTCAGAAAGATTAATCTACCTAAGATCATTGCTACAAAACTTACGATGTCAAGTAATCTATTGCAAGTAATAGTATTATGTGTTACTTAGGAAATAGGCATCCAGATTTCTACTTGATTAAGCAAAGTAATATTTTAATCTGCCTTTTACACACACACATGCACATACACACAATACATTCGCACACATTCTTAGAGAAGTGTAGGTAATATATTTGAGGCTTACTAAGATTTTTATTTTTTTATGTGTTGAAAATTAATGCTAATGTAAATAATAATTTGCTTATGCTTTTTAAAGTATTTTACATGAGGAATGGAGGTGACTGCAATTTTTAAAACTGCATTGTGATGCTTAAAAATCCATTTTATAAAAGTTACATCATAGTCATATATTCATTAATTGCTTAAAGGGAAAAAATTATTTGTACTAACTTAAATATATTTTCTTTTTGTGGTAGAAGACAGAATATTTGGTTTTTGAAGCAGAGAATAATGAAATCAATATGATTGTTGGATCTTTGCCATTACTGTACTGGGTAGGATGACAAATTCTATAATACAGGCAGCAAAACAGAAATTGAGACCTATCAAAAACACCTGCTTTGCTATTTAAAGTTCTATTTTTTTCATTCAGTAAAACATTGAAAACATTGAAGTGCTGTTTTATAAATTCTCAGGGCATTTAAATTTTATGTGGTTTTGTGAGTAAACTGGACAGTATCTTAGTAGTTTTCTTAACTGAAGAAGTTATTTTGGTTTATACAATCTTTGTTTTTTGACACTTATGATGTGTGACCTCTTGTCTATGTAAATAGCAAGCTCTTTCTAATCACACAGGAAGTCCTGCACGTGGCGGGGGTGGAAATGCAGTTGACGGCTGCTGTTTCCTTTCTGACCATTCTACAGGAAGAATCGGTATCAATCCATGCATATGCCCACTCCTTTCTCCAAATCATTTTGCTGCATGTGGAGCACAGAGATGCAGGTCAGGGGCCAGGCATGTTCCCTGTGTACTTGCATGTTGTTTCTTATATGTCATTTTTATCCTCTTAGCCTGATGTAGGTGACTCACCAAGACCATATTACTCAAGGGTTGACAAATGATAGAATTTAAAATTACCATGGCTATCTCTTTATAAAACTTTAAAATAAAAAAAACCCAGACAAACGAAAAACTTTAAAATTCATTATTGTTGAGAGCTGAAGACCTATTAGGTTACCTTATGATTTTTTTATTTTACTTTTTCTTTGGTGACCTACTAGGTAAAGAGTTGCACTGCCAACCAAAAAGCAGGCAGTTCAAGTCTACCAGCTGCTCCATGGGAGAAAGATGGGCTGTCTCCTTCCATGCAGTTTACAGTCTCTGTAAACACACTGGAGTGTCAGCTATGTGTAGGTTCCAAATTGATGGCCCATAACAACAACAACTTACACGGTTTATGTTTATAGTACTATTATTCAGCAAAAATACTTGTTTTGAGTTAAAGATGTTGCTAAATACTATTTTTTAAAAAATAAACCAATAATTTTTCCAGATGTTGGAGTTACTAACTTTGTGAGCCACTTCATGGAGCTTGTTCTGTGTCATTCAGGTGTCAGTAATGCCTGGCTGGAAACTCTTCTGTCCGTCATAGAAGTGCTGCCAAAGGAGACCCTGCGGCACGAGGTAATGGCCACAGATACAGACACTTGCGGTGTTTTTATAGAGAGAGTAGTGCTGGTTACTAGGTCTTTCCCAGAAATGGCTTTTTTAAAAAAGTAAAATGGCTCACCATTCCCAAACCAACACATGATCATTTGGAAAATTTGAATGATACAAGACACAGAAGAGAGAAAAAGAAATCCATGGTTTTACACATTGTCAGCCATTTTTAAGTTTTTGATCTATTTCCTTTTAGATTTTTCCCCTCTGTAGATGGTCAGTGCTTGCCACATTAGTGCTCATACTGAATTCCTGTTTGTTTGCTTTTTACTTAAACATTTTAAACTAATTCAGAAATGGTTGTAAACGGTTTCACTTACTTGTTAAAACATTATATTTGTTGTGTATCATAGAGTCAGAATCAATAGATAACTGACCCTCTGGTGGGTTTTCAGAGACAATTAATCACATAGGAGGAGATTGCCCATCCTTCTTCCATGGAGCAGCTTGGTGGCCTCAAACCGTGTGCCTTTATAATTGTGGTGCAGCTTCTTGCCACTAGGCCCTCATAGCTCCCTAGTTACCTATCAAAATAAGGCTAATAAACATTTCTGTAGAGCTTTTTCTTTTTTCAGATATTTTTCTTAACTGTCTCCAGTGAGGTGTCTGTAGGGGTCGTACTAATCTGTAGGCTGTGCCTCTCTGGCGGTTCAAATCCATCAGCAGCTTGGTGCGGGAGAAAGATGGGCAATCAGCTCCAGTGTGGTTTACAGTATCACAAACAGCTCTGAGTTGATTCCATATCCAGGGCAATGAGTTACAGCTTCCAGAAAAGGGCAATTACTTGGTCAGAAGGCATCGACATTCTTAACTAACATTGTGTTAGGATGCCTGTTTCTGTGCAACAAATTTTCCAATTAAATTTGATGGATAAAAAATGGAGTTAAATTTTCAATGGGAATTTTTTTGGTTGGTGAATTCTTCCTATTTCAACCTGGATTATTTTTAAAAATATTGTTTGATCTAAACTATATGATCCTATCATCCATTGCTATACTTATATATGCTATTAGATTTACAGAGCTCTGGTCACCTAGGTAGGGAGGTGGGCAGCTAATTCAAAGCCATGCTGCTCTGGTGGTTCAAAGCCACCAGCTGCTCCGTGGGATGAAGAAATAGTGGTTTCCTCTCTTGTGACTACAGCCTCGAAACCCAAAGGAGGATCAGTTATGAGTCAATTCTGATTGAATAGCAATGGATTCAAGTTTTTTATTAAGTTTTACTGTTGTTTGTTGAATGTGTTACAAATATTTTTCTCAAAGTTTATTTGCTTTTCAATACTCAGTGTTGTGGGTATAACCTTTTCAGAAGGTTTAACAAATTATGGTGAGAGTATAGGAAAATAAGATGGAAATTTATCTCCTCAATTCATTGCTTATATATCTTTTTTTCCAATTATGTTATGCTTGAAAGAAGCAATTACATGTTCTCTTAGAATTTAATAAAAAATAATTTTTTTTGTTCTTATGCAGTTTATTATTGTAGAACCATACCAAAATGCTTGCTTGAAATTGGAAAGACTCATCCAGTTATGTAAGGACGTTTACATAACTGATGCTGAACATCTGGATGATTCTGTATATTTCGATGTATTATGTGTATTTAGAATGTTGTATGTACATGTGCTCTTTCTGTAATTTGAAGACTATGCAGTTGAATGCAGTTTTTACTGTTAAATGCCATCCGATTATTTATAATGATTTTTTTTAAAGATCTTAAATGTACATTTTATTTCAAATATTTTTGGTCTTAGATTTTACTTGTCCCTGTGTAGTCAGTAATTCTGGCCATTTTGTAGCTGACACTTTTAGTAGAACTAAAGAATTTCTGAACTTGCCTTTTGGCTCTGTTTTTCTAATTTCCCCTTTATATAGATAAGAAATGTGGGGATGAGAAATAGCAAGATTGCTTGGGCAAATTAAAGATGCATCTGATTTAGAATTTGATCTTCATAGTTCTTTAGAGTCTATCATGTTCAGTTTTTGAATGCTGAGTATATCTGTAATGCCGTATTAATTTAAAACCTTAACGTTTTATACCTCTTTAGACTAAGTATATACTTAATTTATATGATATAAAAGTAATTTTCAAGGTGTCAGGCAGTTAATTTGCCTTTTCCTTTTGAAAGTGTGCTTCAAATAATATCTAATGTGCTTAGAGGCTTAATGGTAAGAAGTTGCACTGTTAACCCAAAGGCTCACAGTTTGAATCCATGAGCTGTTCCACAGGAGAAAGATGAGCAAGCCCCTCCAGTGTCCTTTTACTGCCTCTGAAAACCCGCTGGAGGGTCAACTGTGAGTCAGTTCTGACTAGATGATACATAACAGAAATGTATACAGATAATTAGAGACTTTTCTAAAAGTTTTAAGTTCAAGTCTTTTTATTGTTTATTTTTAGTGTGTAATTTATCATAATCTTTAATTTAATAGTCTAGAAAGCAGTCAATAGCAACCAGGTCATAAATAACCATGCAATTCAAATGATATACATGTTCTTAAAAGCTTCCAGGATATTGCAATTAATATTATTGGGGGGAAAAGTACCTGACATTAGTGTCAAAAGTATGTAAAATTTTAAAAATTTCTTCTGTAAATAATTTTCTTTTTAGATTTTGAATCCACTTGTTTCCAAGGCACAACTGTCGCAAACAGTACAGTCTCGCTTAGTTAGTTGTAAAATTTTAGGAAAATTGGCCAACAAATTTGATTCCCTCACGTAAGTATTTGTATATAAGTTCTTGTTCATTCTATTAAATTAAGGATTTTAAACATATGACTTTGATTAGCAATTAAATGAGATTTGTATTCTTTTATAGTACATAAAAGCTTAGTTCTTTATAGAACTTTGACAAAAATGTATTTACTCAGATATAGTTCCTTTTGCTCATATGACTTTTTGAGGTTAATGAAGTTGATTTTCTCTTTCCCATTTTCTTCTTTTGCCTTATCCCTAGTATACCTTTGAAAAGAGAATGACATTATTATATAAATGTCAAATATTAGTATGCATAACCTAAAAACAGAATTTGTGCATTACTATTTTGAATAATGTTTCTTATTTTGAGATTTTTATGGAGAATGTAATTTATATGTTACTCTCTGTCTAGATGATACATACTAGCTGGAAGGAAAGGGTGGTGGTGGTGGTTGTTGTTAGTTACCATCTAGTCAACTGTGACTCACAGCGATCCTGCAGACAACAGATCAGAACCTTGCTCTGACCTGTGCCATTCTCATGTTCTCTGCCCTATTCAAGTCCATTCTTACAGTGTCTGTACAATTGTAATTGTGCAGGTAAGGAAGGGAGTATTGTAAAAATAAAATGCACTGTTGTTGCTGGGTGCTATCAAGTTGATTACAACTCATAGCAGTCCTGTAAACAACACATCTGAACCTCGTCCATCCTGTGCCATTCTTGCCATCTCTAGTGTGCTTGAGCCCACAATAGAAAAATACAAAACTGAAGGATCATTTGATTGGTGGTTGTTAGATTCAGGCATTCTACTTGCTGTAGAATCTTTTATTTCTAGTCATTATTTTAAAAATATTTCAGCCACATACATAGTTTAAATGTAGTTGATGATGCCATCTAAATTAACTAGCATATTTAAAAATACATTATAAGCTTTACAACGGAGTATGTTTGGTATTCATAGAGCGTGGTGAAATGTACAGAGACCTGGAGTTAGAACAGAAAAGGAAAAACATACTCAACATTTCTAAACCTAGGAGAACTGAAGAAAATGTGAAGCTTCAAGTTGTAATATTGAAAGTTTCTGAGGGCAAGATAGTGAATGATGCAGGAAGTACCAAATGAAGACGGAACCGATATACAGTTATTACACCAGAAAGAATTAGTTGACTTTCAGCCATTTCAGGAGAGAGCATGTGATCAAGAAATTGTGCTATTGAAGAAAGAAAACTAAGCTGCACTGAAGGCATTGGTGAAAAACAAAGCTCCAGGACCAATCTGGGACATGGATACCAGTTGAGATGTTTCAGCGAATGGATGCAATGCTAGAGATAGTCACTTGTATTTACCAAAATTGGGAAGCAGTTCTTTGGCCTACTGATTGGAAGAGATCATTATTTTTACCCATTCCAAAGAAAAGTGAATCAACGTAATTTAGAAATTATTGAAAATATTATTAATGTCTCATGAAAATAAAATTTCTTTCATGATAATTGAAAAATAGTTGTAGCAGTACATTAATAGGGAAATGCCAGAACTCCTAGCTAAGATTCAAATGAAGGCATGGAATAACGCATATTTGTTATGCTACCAAGCAGAAGGTGGGTGATTTTAATCTGCGGCCCTCAGGCCGGGTTCAGATTATTTTCCTGTCAAACGTTCTTCTAGGTGGTGTAGCACTGGTCAGTGCATTGCTGTACAGAGGTAACTCGTGGTTGCTGTGAGGCTGAGCCCTGGGACACGGATGTGCCAACCGTGGTAATAGTCACCCATGGCGGACAGTGTTTGCTGGAGCTTCCCGACTGAAACAAGCCTGGAAGCAGGAGTGGCATCCACTTCTGAAATGGTTTGCCTCCGGAAACTCTGTACGAGCAGTGCTCAGCCCTTTCGTTCATAGGGTCACTATAAGTCATCTACGACTCGGCGGCACCTAACAACAATAGTCAAGTGGGAACCAACTCACAGCTGACCCTCTAGTGGTTTTTCAGAGGCAGTAAATCACACATGAGGAGTTTGCCCATTGTTCACCGTTTGAACCACATGCCTCTGGGTTGGCAGTGTAACTCCTTCCCACTGAACCACCAGAGCTCCTTGATAACAGGTGAGCTTTGATTCTAACGTTGCTGATACTACATGGACTTTGGCCGAAGCCTGGAGTAGCAGATGTTTACTTGTGTTTTCTTGACTATGCAAAGGCATTTGGTTGTGTGGATCATCTTTGGATCTATTGGATCCCATTGCAAAGAATGGGAATTTCAGACACTTTAATTGTGCTCATGCAGAACCTGTTCATAGATGATGAGGCGGCAGTTTGAATAGAACAGCGCATAATGGGTGGTTTAATATCAGGAAAGGTGTAAGTCAGGGTTGTATCTTTTCATCACACTTACTCTGTATTAGCAAATATTTGAGAAAGTCGATTATATGAAGACGTACATGGCATCAGGGTTGGAGGAGGACTTATTAACCTGTGAGAAGTCAAATACCACAATCTTGCTGGATTTAAAACAAATATAGGACTTGAAGTATTTATTGATAAAAACTACATCTTCCAGAGGAATTACTGCTCAACACAATGAAGACAAAAAAATACCCTCAACTGTACCAATAAACAATTCATAATAAATGGTAAAAATATCAAAATTGTCAAGGACTTCACTTAATTTAGATCCACAATCAATGCTCATGAAAGCACCATTCAAGAAACCAAATCTATAGCAAAAAATATCTTTGAAAAATAAAAGTTCATCTGGCCCAAGCCATGGTATTTTCACTTCCTAGGCTTGTAAAGTTAGCTGAGGAATCAAGAAACAGAATCGATGCCTTTGAATTTTCATGTCAGTAAAGAATATACTATGGTCTGTCAGAAGAACAAATAAATATGGCTTGGATTAAATGCGATTAAATACAATACTCCATAGAAGTAAGGATGGTGGGAAAAGCAGGTAAAAGAAAAAAAGGATGGTAAGATATCATTTCACGTACTTTGGACATATTATCTGGAGCAACCAGTCCTATGAAAAAGACATCATGCTTAGTGTAGGGGGAGGGTCAGTATTGAAGAGGAAGCCCCTCAGTGGTATGGATTGACACAGTGGCTGTAACAATGCTTGGTCATAGCAATGGCCATGAGTATGTTTCAGGACTCGGCATTGTTCTGTATATAAGGTAGTTACAGGTTGGAACTGATTCCACAGCAAAGCAGTCACTTTTGTGTTTATTTTATTTTATACTTTAGCATTAAAAGAGAAATTCTTCCACTGGTAAAATCACTCTGTCAAGACGTAGAGTATGAAGTTCGAGCTTGCATGTGTCGGCAATTAGAAAATATAGCTCAAGGCATTGGGTAAGTACACTTTCAAAGATATTTTGACATGTTTTTGTTTCTTGATTGTCAGATAAGCATATTCTGCTTTCCCCCCTTAAAAGCATGCTATTGAAATTTTACACTTTATATGATATATAAAAAATGTTTCTAACAAACCCTTTCCATTGCATCTGTGCATTAGAGACAAATATGAACATGTTTAACGTGGTAAGAGAGATTTAGTTCATATGAAATGCTTTCCTCCTAATCCTAATTACTTTGTTCTGATCCCAAATCCTTAGGCCCACGAAGTGAAAATGTCCTAATATAAACCATCGGTGGACTCTGGCAATAGAATTTCTTTTGGGTGACAGCCGTATTATTGGGTCAGATGTGACTATTCTAATGGCAAACTTTGTGTCTCCTGTAATTCTAATCTTCTACCATCTCCTTTATTTCTGCCCTTACTCTTTGGATGTGTAAAGCTCTAGAAGGAGCAACATAGGGTACTTGGTCTTTCTCTTTTAACTATAAAAATATAAATCTGGGTGTGATAAGGTGCTAACTCAGAGGTTCATGGATTAAGCCCACCCAGCATTTCCATGGAAAGAAAGCCTGACATTGTTTTGTAAAGATTGCAGTCAAGAAGGGGAAAGTTCTGTTCTGTAAAATACGGTGGTTGCATGAGTTGGGATCCAACTGGATCATAGCCAAAAATAAAGGTACACACAGACAAATAGGGATAGATATGCACAATTTTTGTTACTATAATGCAGCCCCTCCTTTTTGTCATTGTTTCAAAAGCAAGAACTATCCGATTGTGGCCACTGTACCTCTGTTGTTTTTAATCTGGGCCAATGTTCAAGGCTTTCAGATGTCACACAGATTCATAGTATTGTTGTACACACAGTTGTGTTTGCTGCTGCTAAACAGAATTTATAGCACTCTTTAGATTAAGTATTATTTAGGAAGCGTAATATTGCAATTCTCTTGTTTTGATCTCAGCACCACTTTCTTTCTGGTAGGGTAAGCTGACTGCTGGGATCATTGTGGGCTCAAGAGTGAATACAATGTTACTTGGACATTTGCTTCTTAATTAGAATCAGATTCTTTTTGGGAGAGTATTAAGTTGTCTTTCTACATTCTCTTTTTTTTGCGTTTAATAGTTTGTCACTGTCCACAGATTATAAAAATCACTTGCCATTCATTTGATCAGGTGGTATACTTGTAATTATACAAGCTTTTGTTTAAAGGTTAATTTACAAAATAAAACCAGAGTGTTAGAGTTTACCTAAGCTAATTTGGATGATTATACACACATGTAATTTTAAGTAAGAAGCAGTGCTACAATCATGAAGGCACATGGTTTGAATTCACCAGTTGCTTCACAGGAGAAGGATGGCCTCCCATGTGATTAACTGTCTCTGAAAATGGGTTGGTTCCAACAGAAAGGCACACAACAACAGTAACCGTATCCTATTTAGAGCAGACTAGTAGGACTTACTGTTACAAGGGCTGAAACTCCTTATACCTGAATCATTTTCTTTGCCCTTCTTTTGAGAAATGCATTAAACCAGAGTTTCAGTTTCTTTCTTTTTGGTTTTACTCCCTGCAGAGAATTTGCATTTCTATCCTCTGTCACTTGATGATTTTGTTAAAATATAGATGTTGATATAGTGTATCTAGGTGGAAATTCACATTCTCAATAGAGGTCACACTGGAATGAACCAGTAAAAGCTGTGCACTTTATGTAGTATACAACTTAATAGTAGTGAAAGAATCTCTAATTCTGAATTTTGTTAAACATTTAATAGCTACCAGTAGAAATTCCCTCTACTCTAGGCTAGATGAAGCCCTAAGGTAGAGCAAAGGCACTGGGAAAAGATAACTTTAGAGATTGTTTCTAGTTTGATAGAGAATAGTGTCCCCATTATTGTACTGGAGTCTTATCCTAAGACTCTTGAGAATGAAGAGTGCCTGGAAGAAGTCCAGCAATGATACAGGCTGGAGTTTGTAATTTAGTGTTTGCTCTGGCTAGAAAGGGAAGACATACTGACCTTTTTAGTTTTGCCAGAAATGAGCACTGTCTGAAAGACTAAAATCAGATGTACTTGGTGTGTGTGTGTAAATAGGGCAGTCTAAAAGTGGAACCCTAACCCCATTTTAAAGTCTTGATGTGAGTCAAGAATCTCTGTCGGACTCTTTTTTTTTTAACCTTGATGACTGACCTGGCCATATAATACAAGGACAGCTTTCCTTTTCTTTGAGATATGACAGGTGAAGGATAATATAATTTATTCTTAAAGAATCTTTTTCTTTATAGTCAAATAGATGCATGATGTCGCAGCGTATGGCCAGGGGTCTCGATGTACAGCAATGCCAGTAAAACTTCACTGGAGACTCAGAAATGGACATGACTGAGAAAGAAGTTTTACTAATAGGTTTCCAGATAAACTTGTCTTGGGCTGTCCTGTAGTGAACTGAACGGCATATACCTTTAACAATCAGGTAGTCCCAGATAATCTTCTATTTACCTATCCCTCCTGAATTTTTGCTTCTGGAGATCCTCCTTTCTGTTTTCAACTGCCTTGATGTCTCTCAGGCAGTTATGAATGTTGTAATCTTTAGTTCTTCCAGTAGTACTAGGTCTGATGCTTTCCCTGGATTGGTACCGTGACCATTTCCACTCTGACAGTGGATGTTTTCCTGATCTGGACCTTTTCCATGACTCATTAAATTCCATCTGCTTTAAGTGGATTTTGTGATGCTCTATGTCAACACTATTGTTGTTGATTACTGTGATGAATAGACAGCAAAATGAAAGATAGTCTATCCATATTAAATAAAAACTCAAAATTCTGGAAAGCTAATTGTGCGTTGTGCACCAGCCTAAGATCAAAGAGGAGGACTCGTAGAATAATCAGTTAAGAGGGAATAGTGTTAAAAAGGGATCCCTGGTGATGCAATTTCTGACCAAAAGTTCACTGGATTAGAACTCAATGAGTCATTGTTGGTGAGGCGGAGATGTGGCAGTGTTCCGAAGATTCCACCTTTGGAAACCCAGTGGAGCTGTTCTGTGCTGCCCGTTAGCATCATTCTGAGTTAGACTTGACGAGACAGTGATGGGTTATGAAGAGCTCATCCAACTTTATTACAGAACTGTCAGTTCTTTTCAAATTGATCTAGAGATTCAGTGTTGTTATGTGCCATCAAGTCACTTACGACTCATAGCGACCCTATGTACAACAGCCCTAAACCGTGCTCTATCCTGTGCCAATTGCACTGCCTCTGACACACCCATCCAGATTACCCCAGTCACTGAATCAATCCACCACCTCATAGAGGGTCTTCCCCTCCTGCGCTGTCCCTCCATGCTCCCAAGCATGATGTCCTTCTCCAAGAACCTGTCTCTCCTTACAACATGTCCAAAGTATGTCAGACGAAGCCCCAGAATCCTTGACTCCAAGGAGTAGCCTGGTTTAGCCCTCTCCAGGATGAATCTATTTGTTTTCTTGGCAGTCCATGGTATATTCAGAGATTCAGTGTAATCTTAATAAAAATTGTCACATGTCATTTTGTGGACATAGTAAAATAAAAGCACGAAAGCAAATGAAAAAGGAAGGACTAGTACTACTTGATTTCAAGATTAACAATAAATTTATATTATTCAAAAGACTACAGTGTTGAAAAGATAGACATACAACTCAATGGAGCAGAGTAGAGAGTGTAGAAATATATTCCCAATATGTAGTCATTTGATTTTTAGGAAAGATGGCAAAGCATGACATCTTCCAGCTTGTACCCCAAAACCCAGGTCACACCATAAACCCTCCCATTATCAGAGAGGGTGCTGTTATAATGACATCTTTCTATGATGAAAAAGTAGAAACAGAATGTTGAGTAAGAATTCACTTGTATTTATAAATATTTTACCTAACAGCACACATTTTCTTTGAGAGAACCTCTAGTGCTAGGAGTAATTCTTCTAATTAGGCATTCTTGTTATGTGCCTTTGAGTCACAGTCAACTCATAGCTGACCATCCACTGAATTTTCAGAAGCAGTAAATAGCCTGCTGGGGGAGGTTGCCAGGTCTCTCTCCCGTGGAGCAGGTGGTAGATTCAACCCTGTTGCTTTGTCTCCTTACCCACTAGCCCACTAGATCTCCTTACTGTAAATAAACTAGGAATTTGTTTGTTGTGATTTTGTGTGTTAGATAAGCAGAAAAAAAAAATCTATCCTCAGAGATTTGAATACAGTTAAACCTATCAATGCTCAGAAGGTGGGTAAGGTAGAAACATGTTAAAAAAAGAAAACATAAATATTTTCTATTACAGCAATTGAAATAAAAATAATAATACTGCACCTTGTCAAAGGCAGAAACCTTGTGAGACCTAAAATCAAGGCAGCCCCATCCAGTTCCAGCTTTTATGAGTTTAGCTGCTATAAGATCTTTCCATATTTGTTGCAATAAGTCTTTCTGTAAGGACCATATTTTTCCATATGGACGAAAACCAAAACAGAACCCAGCTTATTGCTGTCAATTCATAACCACAGTTTGAAAAAAAAAAAAGAAAAAAGAATGCATTGTATGTTGGTAGCAGATTTGATATAATCAATTTGATTCCTTTGCATACCATCAGGTTAAATCCATGTGTATAACCTGCAGTTGTGTTTCTTATAAAAGGTATTTTTAGAATGAATAAATCATTGAATGTGCAGAATTCTGTCATTCTTTCTCCAGCTTCATTTCTGTCACCAAGTCCATGTTTCCCAACTACTGATCCTTCTTTCCTGTTCCCATCTTTTGCATACCTGTCACCCAACTTGATTGCATGTTCGATCTATCTATGACTACATAAGTTGGTAGAAATCTATTTCCTACTCCTTGGCTCTAGCTGTTGGTGCATATATTTGAATGATAGAAGTACTTCCTTGTGTGTGTACGGATATTACCCTGTCACTCACCATATTTTATTTCAAGATGGTTCTAGAAATGACTTTTTTGATTCTGAAAGCAACTCCACCAAGCCCTCTCATTTCACCAATACCTACCTAGTATGTCAATATTTATGCGTTCCATTTCTTTCTTAACAATGTCCAAGTTTCCAACATTCATGCTTCTCACATTCTACGTTCCAATCATTAGTGTATGCTTACAACTGTTCCTTCTTCTTTGTGTTTCCATATTCGAGGTCTCAGCCTTGGTTGCCATGTCTGCTAGTCTAAGTGTGCACTATTGTACATAGGGTTTTTTGGAAGCCCTGTTATTTTGGAAGTAGATGGATCACTAACTACTCACATGCAAATTCAAGCTGAAGTTGAAAAAAATTAAATCAAGTCCACAGGAACCAAAATTTGACTGTAAGTCTATCGCACTTGAATTTCAGTACCATCACAGGAACAGGATTGAGGCCTTCAACACCAATGAGTGAAGACCAAATGAGCTGTAGGAGGATATCAAGAATATCATCCATGAAGAATGCAAAAGGAAATGAAGAAATTAAGGAGCTGAACAGAAGATTTCAAATGACAGCTCGGTAAGACAAAGCACAGTATTAGAAAAAAATGTGTAAAGAGCTGGAGTAAAAAAAATCGAAAGGGCCAAACTCGCTCAGCATTTCTTAAGCTGGAGGAACTGAAAAACAAATTTAAGCCACAAGTTGCAATACTTAAGGATGCTTTGAGCAGAATATTAAATGATCCAAGAAGCATTAAAAGAAGATGTAAGGAGTATACAGACTCACTGCACCAGAAGGAATTGGCTGACACAGAAGAATTTAATGAAACAACATATGAGCAAGAGCCTGTGGTGGTGAAGGAAGAAGTTCAACCTATTCTGAAAAATTGGCAAAAAACAAGGTTCCAGGAGTTGACAGCATACCAATTGACACATTTCAACAAACAGACGCTGCTCTGGATGTGCTCACTAAGTTGTGCCAAGAAATCTGGAAGACAAACATCTGGTCAATGGACAAAGATCAGTATTTGTTGCCATTCCAAAGAAGGGTGACCCTTACGTGCGAAATTTACTGAACAATATCATTAATATCACATGCAAGCAAGATTCTGCTGAAAATTATCCAAAAAACAACTGGAGCAACATGTCAGCAGAGAACTACCAGATGTGCAGGCTGGGTTTAGAAGAGGCCTTGGTAACTAATGTTAGAGGGATCTTGACTGAAGGCAGAGAGTACTAGAGGAATATCTATCTCTGTTTCAATGACTATGCAAAGGCATTGTGAATCACAACAAGCTGTGGCTGACTCTGAGAAGAATGGGAATCCCAGAACATTTGATTGTGCTTATACTTGGACCAAGAGGCAGTCGTTAGAACAGAGTTAAGTAGACACTGCATGGCTCAAAATCTAGAAGATGTATGCCGGGTATGTATTCTGTCTCCATACCTTTTCAATCTTTATGCAGAAGAGATCATCTGGAAGGCTGGGCTGTACGAGGAGGAATGTGGCATCAGGATTGGAGGAAGACTCATCAACAGCCTGCGTTACGCAAATGACACAAACCTTGTTTGCAGAAACTGAAGAGGACCTGGCGCGCCTGCTGCAGAAGATCAAGGACTGTAGCCTTCAATATGGATTGAAGCTCAAAATCACGAAAATGAAGATTCTCATCACTGGGCCAAGTGGCAGCATCATGATGGCTGGTGAAGAGATAGAGATTATTAGCAGCTTTAGTTTGCTTGGCTCCACAGCCAACCTTCTTGGTACCAGCAACCAGGAAATCAAGAGACAAATTGCACTGGGAAAGCTGGCTGTCAGGGACCTCTCCAGAGTACTGAAGAGCAACAGTGTCAGTCTTGAGACTAAGTTGTGCCTGATCCAGGCAATAGTCTTTGCAATCACTTGCTATGTGTCAGAGAGCTGGCCAGTGACTAGGGATAACTAGTGACTAGAAAGAGAATTGATGCCTTTGAACTTTGGTGCTGGGAAGAATGTTGAATATACAAGGGACTGCCAGGAGAACAAACAGGTTTGTCCTAGAGAGGGTGAAACCAGGATGCTCCTTGGAGGAGGCAAGGATTCTGAGGCTTTGTCTGACATACTTTGGGTATGTTGTAAGGAGGGACATCATGCTTGGAAGGGTGTAGGGATGGAGAAAGAGAAGGATACCATTGAAGAGATGGGTTAATACCGGGATTAGGATAATGAGGGTAGGTGTGTTGGAGACAGTAAAGTTGGCCCAGGATAGAGCATGTTTCAGGGTTGTGGTACATAGGATTGCTATGAGTCACAAGTGACTTGATGGCACATAACAATAGCAACAACATTGGTAGCATAAAAGTACAGTATTATTCAGCAATGTTTTATAAGTTTAGGTTGTTTGCTGAAGTTTCTTAAAATAGTAAATGACATAAGATGTCCTGTAAACACCTAATCATTAAAATATCTGAAGAATTATTGTTATCATGTGTTATCAAACCAGAACCGACTGTTAAGTGACCCTTCAGCGATTTCCAGAGACTGTTCATTACATGAGAAGAGATTGCCCCTTTTTCTTTTGTGGAGCAGCTGGTGGATTTGAACCACTTGCCTTTGGATTGGCAATCTAACTCCTTACTACTAGGCTACCAGAGCTTCTTGTTATTGTTGAGGAAGTGTAATTGATTTAAATTACTGAAATTACTTTTAATGCTGCTTATATCATGTTTTTTTTTCAGCCGCATTGCAGCCTTCTGGAGGACAAGAACAATTGTTTTATTACTTCAATTTCTGATAACCCTCAGCTTAGTGATTTATTTATAATAGGTTTTTAAAGCAAATTTATTGCTTTGATTTCTTCTGTCACTTATTGTGCAGGACAGAACTCACAAAAACTGTGGTGCTCCCTGAATTAATAGAACTCTCCAGGGATGAAGGTAGCAGTGTACGGCTTGCAGCATTTGAGACTTTGGTTAATCTGCTTGACATATTTGACACAGGTAAGTGTTGCTGTGGCTATGTCTCTGCGTCTGAAATCAGTGTTGTCCCAAGCATCATCTTCTGTAACTGAAAGAGCTAGACTTTAAAAATGAGCTTTTGAAAAAAGGGTAAACATCCCTCCTTTCTCTCTTCACAGTCCTTTGTTTTTTGATGCTTCTCTGGTGCCATTTTTGCCTTCATGGCACTCACATTTGCTGCCTCTTCTGTATCTTCCATTTTCTTTCATCAGAATTAATCTCACTTTCATATTATTGTTCTTGTTAGGTCCCATCGAGTTGTGTATGACTCATGTTGTTATATGCCGTTGAGTCACTTGTGACTAATAGCGACCCTATGCACAACAGCTCTAAACTCTGCTCTGTTCTGTGCTAATCTCATTGTCTCCGACACACTCATCCTGATTGCCCCAGTCACCGAATCAATCCATCTCCCAGAGGGCCATCCCCTCCTGCGCCTGCCCTCCACCCTCCCAAGCATGAAGTCCCTCTCC